CGGGGCTCGATCCCAGGACCCCGGGATCATGACCTGAGCCGAAGGCAGACGCTTAACCGACTGAGCCACCCAGGCGCTCCATCTTTCCATCTTTCTAAACACCGGGGAAGAAAATAAGTCTCTTGTGGTGGGATGTCCCAGTCAGCTCTAAGGCTATCTGGCGTTTTCCGGCAGCTCAGTCTGCAGCAGTGGCTAGGGATCTAGCATGCAGGTCTCTGTTAACCTTGTGGCAGAGGACCATTACTTAGGATGTAAAAAGTAGGAGCCACCGCAGCCTCTTCCCCAGTGCTCTGTTTCTTCGAATTCATCATATTCCACCGCATGCTGGCTCAGAGCCTCCTCGATTTCCTTGCCTTGGGTGCCAACATCTCTAAACGCCAGACCGGATCCTTGTACTTCGAAGTTGAGCGCGTTCCTTGTGTCTACATACGGAGATGTCCCTTTGCCTCGGCGGGTCCTGCATCTTTTGCAGGCAGCTCTAACGGTGTATGTTACTGCCTGCGAATTCACTTTCTCTCTGGAAGATTGTTGCAGTCAAAGAGCTAGCACTTCTCCATTGTTAGCCTGTTGGAGTGCATTTTGTCTCACAACAACGGCGTTAGATCTAGGGGATCGTAGGGGCCAGGGCCCAGAACACTGAGATTCGGTGGACAGCAGCCAGAAAAAGTGGGCTAACGGGGGCTGGGGGGTGGGGCGGGTGGCCTGGCAGGAGACTGAGTGACCCAGGAGAAGTATACGTCCTCCTCATCTGGAGAGCCCGGCTTTACTCTCGGAGCTTCCCTTTTCCAGAGTTACTGACCTGTACGAACGGTCTAGGGCAGATCACCCCTGCTTGACAAGATATGAGAGGGATATGGCCAGCCAGCAGACTGGCCTCCCCACCTGATTTGGACCTAAGCAGCTGCTTAACCCATTCAGGTTTGTATCCTCCACAGGCTGCCAGTGGGAAGATCCAGGCCCGGGCGCAGAGGAGAGATACGGCTGCCCTCACTGCCTGTTGTTTAACCTCTTGATCTCTTTCTCTTTTCCCTTTGTTTTCTCATCTTCATTATCCATTGGATTCATGTGTTTCTGTCTTTTTATATCCGCCCCCCCCCATCTCCTGGCCTCTCCCTGTGCTTCCTTCTCATTTGATATGTTGCAGCCATCCCCTGCCCCTGAGCCCCCCATCTTCTCCTTGCCTCTCGTAGCCCTGGTGGTCATATCGGCTTTGCTCTGGTGCTGGTGGGCTGAGACGTCGTCCTAACACAGGTACTGGTATCGAGTCCTCTCCTTCGGAGGGGTAGAGGGAGGGTGCAGGTGGCCCTGGCCTCTCCTCTTTGCCCTTTCTCTCACTTGCTTGCTTCTTGCTTTTAGCCCTTTGACAACAGGATACTCAGGGGCTGAGTTTTAGCCCTGGCTTCTCCTTGGGCTACTGCAAAGCCCATAGCACCTCTGAGCGTCTTCCTAACACATAGTGAGTTGGAATGCATACTGTTGACACGGTTTGAGTTTCTGTCCTCTGGCTGGGAAAACTTTGGATGATCCCAGCACTGTTGCTACTTTGAAAAATGCCTGACCACTTCTGATGAGCTGATGTCTGTCTGCAAGGCTGACCTGAGTGCTCTTTGCTCTCACTACTGTCACCACCCAGGATGGCAAAATAAGGCATCACTGCGCCTCCCCTGTTGGGTGAGAGAGGAATTCCGGAGTGTTGTGCCCAACCCCCAACCCCAACCCTAACTCCCTTACCAGGGGCATTTGTATGAGGGCAGGCTCAATTTGTCCTCCAGACTTGGCGAAAATGGAACAGAAACCCCTACCATATTGTGTTCTTTCAATGGAGAAATTCTCTGGTTTGGGACTTCTGGTCTTCAGACAACTCAGAACCAGAATGCCAGGAAATATTTTATAGTTCTATGTTTATCCCTTTTGGGGTCCAGACTCTATTGTAATTGCCTTCCCAAGCCAGGCTTTTTGGACATAATGTGGTACTGGTGAAAAGAACGAGATGCAAGTATTCCCAGGGCGCCAAGGCTGACATGTTCTGGGCACCTTCCACTTGGCCTCGGCCCATGTAATCTGGTCTGTCAACAGGATACCAAATTTAGGAGGCAGAATGTGGTCTTAGGTCCCAGGGTAGAGCCCTAGGGTTCCACCTGTCTTTGGAACCCATAAACTATTCTCTCCTGGCCTGTTCTGGCTCCTTTCTCCTGCTCCCCTGCCCACCCCCCCACTTCCCACCCTCCCTTCTCACCCCTGCAAATGAAGTGCCGCTGGCTTAATGCACAGGTTGGGGTGGCAGCTGAAGCATATGTTGGTAGCACTTAGCAGCATCCTTTTCTCCTTCCTTCTCCCCTCACTGTTTTTCCTCTTCATCCTTTCTCCTCTTTAAGGTGTTCCACTTACTCCCCACAAATAGTCTAGCTCCTTTAGTGACAGGGTCCCTATCCCTGTACTGTCCACATCCAGATTTCTCAGCCCCTAGGGGAGGAGACCCAAAGCATTTGGCCATAACCTTTCTGCACCTCAGCCAGGCCCACACAGAGTGAGAGGAAGGAGCTCCTGGGTCAAGGTGCTCTTGGGGGGTCGGGCTGTGCCCCACTCTGCAGCTCCCAGTCCAGGAGCTGAGGCAGCGTAGCTCTGTAGAAAGCGTGGCTGACAGGTGAGAACCTGGCCCAGTCTGTCTCTGCCTCTTACCGCTTAGTCCCAGTGGGCAAAATGCATAACGGGAACATTAGTTTCTTCAAATGACAGCGAAGAATGGTAAAACCTCTGCTTTCCTCACGTGACGATCACAGGAGTTCATGTTTATGAAGGTTCTTCATAAATAATAAAACACCCCATAAATAATTTAAAAAGCGTATACTTACAGCATACATACTATGTACCTGGCACTGTTCTAATCACCTTACATATAAACTCATTTAATCTTTGCAACAACCCAACGAGGTGGCTTTTATTATGATTTTATATGTAATAAAACTAAGGCATGGAGAGGTCAAGTAATACCGCCAGTGAATTATGAATTGATTTCTAAGGACTAATATTAGCAACAGCTAGAATTCCAACCTTGCCTCCCCCTTCCCATCTCTCCTCATTTTGAGCAGTTTTCCCTGGTTGGTTCCATGTAATTAGGAAGACTGCGTACTTCTCTTCACACAGCCCCCAGGGGCATTAGCTCTCTTGACAACTAATGTCACGTTGTTAACTCTCTGCGTGTGTTGTTTATAAAGCCCCTTTACGTATTGCATATGCTAAGTATCCTCTCCTCGTTTTCTACTTGCAATTGATTTTTTGGATCTGAGGCAGAATTTTTTACTCATTCCTATTCGGTATAGTCCATTGATGTAAACTGTGGAGTTTGTTTTTTCTTTTTTTTTAATCTTGACCTTGCGGTTTCCGATTATCCATTTCCCTGCCAGCTCCACATCCTCCTCAAGGGCGACCAGCCTACTTTCATATGTTCGTGTGCATTATTTTTTTTAAAAGTCTTATTTAGGTGATCTCTACCCCGTACATAGGGCTTGAACTCACGACCCCGAGATCAAGAGTCGCATACTCTTCCACTTGAGCCAGCCAGGCGCCCTGTTAGTGCACATTAAAGGGGAGGGCCGACCCTCTGGAGTGTTGTCTCTCCAGGCTCTCTTTTATCCAGCTCATTGGTCACATGGCAAATGGTCACACAGCAACCTGTGTGTGCTACCATGCTGATTATTTCCTCTTGTTCTGTCCAAGGAGATCATGGAAAATCTGTCGGATGTGTTGATAAAATCCAAAAACATTTCTTTGATCTGTCAACTTAGTAACCTAGTCTGTAAGGAAAGCCTGATGTGACTTACCCCTTTGGGACCAGCCCTCAGCCAGTCTGGAACATGCCTCTGACTGGTATAAAGCGTATCAGTTCACATTTATGGGTCTAGCTCTGTCCTTTTTTTTTTTTTTAAAGATTTTATTTATTTATTTGAGACAGCGAGAATGAGAGAGACAGAGAGCACATGAGAGGGGGGAGGGTCAG